AAGCACGCTCCCCTGAGGCAGGCCGTTCTTCTGTTTCCGCCATCTGCTTCTCTGGCCCTGGAACTCAACAGAGAAGCTCCTGTTTTGTAGCAGGTTTCCTATGAGGCGGGTGAGGTGGTCTATACATTGTGATACTATACATTTTTCTCAGGAGGAGGCGGTGGTTCACAGTCTCATAAGCCGCTGACAGGTTTATGAAGACAGCTCCTGTCACCTGCTGCTTTTCAAAGCCATCTTCTATGTGCTGAGTCAGGTTCAGCACTTGCGATGTGCAGCTTTTGCCTTTCCTGAAGCCAGCTTGCTGTGGGATCAGACAGGGGTCTATTTTTAATATTGGAGTGAATATTATTATTTTTATTAGTGCCATTTTTAAGGGGGAGGGAATTATAATTTTGCTCAAGCATTGTTGCATTGAGAAATAGCATTACCCATCATCCTGGGAGCCTTGCCCTCCCCAGTCATCCGAAAGATCCTGCACCAGTACTAATTGTGTTATTAATATCAGCATTTTTCTTTACAGTTGCCATAGCAAATTTAAAATAAATACAGCTTGACACCACTTGCGCAGTGGGTTAAACCCCTGTGCCGGCAGGACTGAAGAGCAACAGGTCACAGGTTCGAATCTGGGGAGAGGCGGATGAGCTCCCTCTGTCAGCTCCAGCTCCTCATGCGGGGACATGAGAGAAGCCTCCCACAAGGATGATAAAAACATCTAATCATCCGGCGTCCCCTGGGCAATGTCCTTGCAGACGGCCAATTCTCTCACACCAGAAGCGACTTGTAGTTTCTCAAGTCTCTCCTGACACAACAACAACAACAAAAGCCACTTTTGGATGAATGCAATGAGAATCCAGGGAGTTGTAGTTTTACAAGAGGCATTTATCTTCACTGTAGGGTGAATGCAATTCCACACCACTTGAACTAAGCAGCCTGGGAGTTGTAGTTTGATGGAATGAAAGCAGACAAAGCTATAGATAGACCTTGCCAAACTACAGCTCCCAGGATTCTGTAGCATTGAGCTATCAAGAAATTATTATTATTATTTCTTGTGGAATCCACAGAAACAAAGTTTCGGGAGTACAAGAACTATTTTCAAAGTAAGTACTGCACAATTAAACAGGAAATAACTCTTCCAAACCAGGAACAGGAAATGTTTCCAGTTTTGTTACATAGTATAATTGTTATGCTTGTTATTGTTACTGAGCCAGGGAAGTTCAAATAGTGTCAAACATCATTAAATCTATAGGGTGGATGCATTGACAATGGTCCCGATTATACTATTTAGGGCTGGGGTTTAAATCACCAGCAATGATAAGATCTACCAACCGAAAGGTGGCCAGTTTGAAGCCCCAGGTCAGCATGAGTTTCCAATTGTCAAGCCCAGCTTACTGTTGACCTAAGTAGTTCGAAAACATCTTAGAGCTGTAAGTAGCAAAATTGAAAAGGTAAAGGTAATCCCCTGACATTAAGTCCAGTCGTGTCTGACTCTGGGGTGTGGTGCTCATCTCCATTTCTAAGCTGAAGAGCCAGCTTTGTCTGTAGTCACCTCCAAGGTCATGTGGCCGGCATGACTGCATGGAGCGCCGTTACAAAAATTAGCAAAATTAGGTACCGCTAAAACAAGAGGGGGAGGTATTTTACGACACCATAAAGAAAAAAGATCAGAAAATGCTGGATGACAAAAAGGAAGAAGGAAGTCCTGATGGCTCTTTGTCATAGAGGATGGAGTGACAACACCCCCCTGTGGCTGGATTTGAGCACAACCTCCAAGGTGCCAAAAAGCTGGATGTTGACATCGACACAACATACCTCCTTTCTGTCCTGTCTGTCTCTGTATTATCTATCTAAAACAGCATTAAAGGTTTGCTGTGTATGTGTACTTTGATCCGCTTTGAGTCCCCTTGGGGAGATAGGGTGGAATATAAATTAAGTGTTGTTGTTGTTGTCTGTTGTTGTTGTTATTATTATTATTATTATTATTATTATTATTATTATTATTATTAGCTGTACCTGCCACTCATTGCTGTGGCCAACCTACCCTCCCTCTTTCTCTCCTTCTTCCCCCCCCTTCCTTCACTCTCTCTTTCCTTCCTCCCTTTTTCTTTTCCTTCTCTTTCTATCCTTTCTTCCTTCTCTGCCTCTTTCCTTCCTTCATTCATTTTTTGCTTCCATCCTTCCTTCTGTCTTTCCTTCCCTCCCTCTTTCTCCTTTTTCTTCCTTCTCGACCTCTTTCCCTCCTTCCTTCGCTCCCTTTCCTGCCTTTCCTTTTTTCTCTCCTTCCTTCCTTCTCTACCTTTCTTGCCTTCCCCATTTTTCTTTTCCCCCTTCCTTTTGTCTTTCTCTACCTCTTTCCTTCCTTCCTTTGCTTTTTGCTTCCATCCTTCCTTTTGTCTTTCCTTCCCCCCCTCTTTCTTTCTCTTCTTCCTTTGCCCCCTCTTTCCTTCCTTTCCTTTTCCTTTTCCTTTCTCCTTCCTTCTTTCTCTACCTCTTTCCTTCCTCCCTTTTTCTTTTCCTTCTCTTTCTCTCCTTCCTTCGTTCTCTGCCTCCTTCCTTCCTTCCTTCCTTCCTTCCTTCCTTCCTTCCTTCCTTCCATCCATCCATCCTTCACTTTTTGCTTCCATCCTTCCTTCCGTCTTTCCTTCCCTCACTCTTTCTCTTATTTCTTCCTTCTCTGCCTCTTTCCTTCCTTCCCTTTTTCTTTTCCTTCCTCTTTCTCTCCTTTCTTCCTTCTCTACCTCTTTCCTTCCTTCCTTTGCTTTTTGCTTCCATCCTTCCTTCTGTCTTTCCTTCCCTCCCTCTTTCTCTCTTTCTTTCTCTTCTTCATTCACTCCCTCTTTCCTTCCTTTCCTTTTTTTCTTTCCTTCTCTCTTCTTTCTCTACCCCTTTCTTTCCATCCCTTCTCTTTTCCTCTTTCTCTCCTTTCGTCCTTCTCTACCTCTTTCCTTCCTTCTTTTGCTCTTTGCTTCCATGCTTCCTTCTCTTTTTCCTTCTTTCCTTCCTTCCTTCCTTCCTTCCTTCCTTCCTTCCTTCCTTCCTTCCTTCCTTCCTTCTTTCTCCCCTTCCTTCCCTCCCTTCAATCCTTTTTTCTGTATTGTCATATAGCTTTCCGTCATTTAGCTTTTCAGGGTTTTTAAGTTCTTTCCAGTTTTTATTTTGGGGGGGGGGGTTATGAATGATGGTCACTTGTTGGTCTGTTAGGGGTGTAGTGTCCAAATTTCGTGTCATTTCATCCAGTGGTTTTTGAGTAATGTTAATCCCACAAACAAACATTACATTACATTTATTTATATAGCTTTCCCCCCACATTTACAGGACCCCTGTGAAAGTGAAAAATTGCAAACGAAAAAATTGCAGGGAAAATTTTACCTGGGAAAATACCTGTTTAGGGAATTTCTAGGTCTTCCAGCATGACTCTTTGGCCAGACTGCAGGAAGCGGACTATAGAGTTGCACTGGAGGAACTAGAGATTCCTAAAGAAAGCATTCAACATTGAATCCATGGACAACCACATCCACAAACCTGCCAGTGTGGAGGGAAGAGTGTCTATTGGCTTTGAATGGATTGCGATGTCTCCTCTCTGCAGGAAGAGGCAGGGACCACGCCGGAGACGCGGCGCTGTGTGCGAATCAACAGCCTGCTGAGCGAAGACGAGCTCATTGAGGATTACTTCAAGGCGGAATCCCCTGTAAAGTAAGCAACCGTTCTTGCTTTCCGTTCTGCTTTTTACTAGGCTTGGCCATCCAGTCCAGCCCCATTCTGCAATGCATGAGGACACAGTCAAAGCATTCCCATCCATCCTGTGGTGGAAACTTCCAAAGGAAATCCCAGGAGGCCTTGTATTCCAATACGAGTTGGAAAGGACCTCCAAAGACCATCCAGTCCAACCCTTTTCATTCTGCCAGGTAGGAAAGTGCAACCCAAGCCCTCCCAACAGATGTCCATCTGATGTATAACCTCCAGAGAAGGAGGCATTTGTTTGAAAAGTTTTCATGATTACTCTGTGATGGAAGACTTTTTTCTGAATTATTCATCAGAAGTTGAATTAATTTGGAAAAATAAGAAATAAACCTTTGACTTACAGGGACATGTTTGGATTTGGAAGGATCTCAATGGCAGGATGGAGCCAGCTTGCTTTCTGTTGCTCTAGAGACTGCAGAATGAATACAGTTAGATGGTATCGCTTTAGCTGCCATCACTCAATCCTGTGGAATCCTGGGATTTCTAGTTTGCTGAGAGACCAGCACTCTTGGGCAGATAAGGCTTTGTAAAATGGCAACTCCCAGGATCCTATAGCATTGAGCCACGGCAGTTGAAGGTGTTTCAACCTGCATTCATTCTATAGTGTAGATCAGGCATGGGCAAACTTCAGCCCTTTAGATGTTCTGGATTTAGGGTTAGGGTCAACAATTGTGGGAGTTGAAGTCTAACACCTGAAGGGAGGGCCAAAGATTGCCCATGCCTGGTGTAGATACACCCTTTGGATTCAAGTTACAAAAAATATTCTACCTTAACTTTAGGAAGGATTGCAAAACGTTGAGAAGGGCTGTTGGACAGTGGCACAGGCCACCTTAGTGGGTGATTGACTTTCTTTACAGGCCTTCAAGCACAGTTTGGATGGGCATCAATTCATTCTGCATGATGGGGTTGGACTGGATGGCCTTTGAGGGGGGGGGGGTCCCCTTCTTCCAACTCTAGTGGGATCTGCTTCTGCCTCAGTATCCAGTGGGATTTTCTACTATGGTGGCTTTTAAATAAAGGCTAGATGTCTATCTGTCAGGAGGATTTGAATGGAATCTTGCTGTTTGGCAATACTGGGTTGGACTAGATGGCCTTTGGGAGGCGCTTGCAATTCTAGTGGGTTATGGGCTTTCTGGTGAGTGGTGGACTCTCCTTCTTGGGAGGTCTTTAAAGAGAGGTTGGATAGTGTTGTGAATAACTTTTCAATAACTTTAAAGCATAGGTTCTTTTTATTGCAATTTCCAGTGTGAGGGGGTATTAGAACTTTTACACAAAGAATGATATTGGATATACAGACATGCAGATTCTATACAACTACATTGGATTTATAATTACATGGCTAACAAACATGCATTCATCACCATGCATACCATATATTACCATTTCCTTTCCTCCCTCCTTGAAGAAGCACCTCTTAGGCCAGACCCTGCTTACCCGCAGCCTGCCAACGCACAGTTCCAAACCTTCCATAACCCCAAAATGCTTCTTATCCACCAAAATGCCAAGGATCAGATCCCTGTTTTCCATACGGCAGAACCTGACTCCCTGCACAAAATCTAAGACTCCAAAAGCACGCTTCTTCCTCTTCCCTTGAGAAAGAAGCCCCAAAGTGACCAGAATCATGCTTTCCCATAGCAGATCTGACACTCTCCGAACACACCATCTCTCTCCTTCCCATGGAGCAGAACATGGTGGGTGAACCAGACTCCTCAGGTCTGCCACAATTGGAGCATTATTAGACTGAGTCTTTTAAAGGAATATTCTGTTGATATAGTCCTAAAGATGTAAATGAATGATAGACGTCTTCCATCCTGGCTCCATCCCGTTTCTTGGCCAAATGTTGACTCTTCTTGATTGGTGTTGATAAACGCAAGGCTTGTGTTGACTTCCTTCTTAACATAAGGAAGGTTGTAAACATTTCCTTAACAAATGATCATTGTCACAGTTCTTATCACAGTTTACTTTTCAGTTCTCATTAGCAACTTTTAATTACAGTCCAACAAGCAGGTAGTTAGTCATTGCAGGCCTTAATATTATACTGGTGTTTCCAAAATTATTAACTCCATCCATATATCTTTCCATTCTGCCATTCATACCATATATCATATCAAATTCACATTTATCAAGTCTGCACATTGAATTCCTTGTGACAATAGCATCTTCCAGGAATTGTTTTATTTCATATCTGGATTGGAATAAATGACCTTTAGGTGCCTTCCTGTTAACAAACCCCAGCAAAAACCTGTTGTTGTTGTTGCTTAGTTGTTGTTGTTGTTGTTGTTATTAGTAGTATTATTTCTATCCTATTTAATCTCTCTTAAAAGAGACCCAAAGCAGCTAACAATAAAAGCAATGCAATCTATATTTCAAAATCTTGGCCTTTAGGTCCCTTCCTGGAAACAAACCCCAACAAAGTTGTTGTTGTTTTTGTTATTTAGTTATTATTGTTGTCGTTATTTCTATCCTACTTTATCTCTCTTAAAAGAGACCCAAAGCGACTAACAATAAAAACAATGCAATATATGATTTAAAGCCTAAAGGGCCTGTTGTATTTGTCAGGATAAATTTAGTTATGTGTGTGTTTTAAATGTGCTTCTATGTATTGCAAATATGGATGCCACTGTGAATTAGAAATGCTGTGCAAAATGTTTATACTATGAGGCTGTGATTAAGTGAACTTGAGAAAAGTAAGATAAGGTTTGCTCTTGCTGGGAACAGAAGGGAGTAACCAGTCTCAGCAAGAAAAGATAAGAAGATGTGAAGAGACTTTCATTTTGACTAGTTCCTGAATTGTAGCTCGCTGTAGTAAGACATGTCTGTTGAATGTGCTTCGTAAACTTAGTTTCTTTTGTAACTCAAAGCCTGCAGAGTCATTATTTTGCAACTCAGTGTCTGCTGATGTAGCATTCCTTCCACTGGGTATCGTCTGACTCTGACAGTATTCATGACTGGCTGAGTGGGGCTGGAATAGATGTCCTTTGGGGCACCTTCTGGGAACTAAGCCCTAACAGAGTCAAGGGTCCACTGTATTCTTGCATAATTGAATGGGGCTGGAATAAATGGTCCTTGGAGTCCGTTCCTGTAACCAAACCCCAATAGATAGCGAGGGCCCAATGTGGTCCTGAAAGAAGTTGGACTAGATGGCCTCTGGGGGTCCCAGGGGTTTCTGAATCCCTTGCTAAAGCATCACGCTGCCTCTCTTTCCTTTCATGGCAGCAACCACTGGCATGATGGTGAGCACCTCTCTGTGGGCGGTGTGACTCTCCACGGCGGCGAGATGGACAGGGACGCATCGTCCAGACAGCTTTCGCCGGTCATCAAGGCCGGATGGCTGGACAAGAACCCACCGCAAGGGTGAGCAAGCCTCCCTCCCTTCCCCTGGAAGCCCTTTGGGATACGGGCATGTTTAAGATCAGTCCATTAATCCAAATACAGACCGTGTTCTGTCTCCCAAGGTGATGCTATTCTTGGCAAGAACAGTTGTTGGGGGTCTGTGTTTGCCCATTTGTTCATGTTATTGGTTGCATTTCCATGGGGCAAATCAAATGCATTGAAGAATAAGGCTTGATGCTCATTTTTTCCTGGCTTCAGCTCCTACATCTACCAGAAGCGTTGGGTGAAGCTGGATCCTGACTACCTCCGCTACTTTGACAGCGAAAAGGTTTGTCATTGACAGGCATGTTGCTGTGTTTCCTGTGTCCCTTCTATGCAGACAGAAATTGTGGAATCTTCCCTCTGTGCTTCTTTTTTATTTCCCTTTATCCTTTCTTCTTTCCTTTTTTCTATTGTTTTCTTCTATCTCCTTCTCTCTTCCCTTCTTCCCTTCTATATTTTCCTTCCTTCCTTCCCTCTCTCCATCCATCTTTTCTTTCCCATTCTCTTTCTTCTTTCCCCCTCCCCTTTCCCCTTCTTTTTCTACTTCTTCTTTTCTTCCTTCCTTCTCTCTCTCCTTTCCCCCACTCTTTCCCTCCTAAAGACCTTTCCTTCCTTCTTTTCATCCATCCTTCCTTTTATTTTTTATTTCCCATTCTCTTTCTCCTTTTCCCCCTCACTCCCTTCTTTTTCCAGGTTCCCCCCTATCTTTTCTCTCTCCTTTCCCACTTTCTCTCCCTCCCTCCTAATGACCCTTCCTTCCATCCATCATCCATCCATCCATTCATCCATCCATCTTTTCTTTCCCATTCTCTTTCTCCTTTTCTCCTCCCTCCCTCCCTTTTCTACTTTTTTCTTCCTTCCTTCTCTCTCTCCTTTCCCACTTTCTCTCCCTCCCTCCTTCCTAATGATGCTCCCTTCCATCCATCCATCCATCTTTTCTTTCCCATTCTCTTTCTCCTTTTTCCCCTCCCTATTTTCTTTTTCTACTTTTCTTCCTTCCTTCTCTCTCTCCTTTCCCAATTTCTCTCTTTCCCTCCTAAAGACCTTTCCTTCCTTCCTTCCTTCCTATCCATCCATCTATTCTTTCCCACTCTCTTTCCCCCTCCATCCCTTCTTTTTCTACTTTTCTTTCTTTCTTTTCTCTCTCCTTTTTGCCTTTCTCTCTCCCCTCCTAAATGGCCTTTCCTCCTTCCTTTTATCCCTCCTATTTTTCTTCTACTTTCCCTCTGCTCTTTTCTATTCTTTTCTATTTTATAGAAATATAAAATCTTTTACAGAAATATGTATATACTTATTGAATTTTTGTTTTTTTAATTGTGTTGTCACCTGCCTCGAGCTGCAGGGAGAGGCGGGTAAAAAATGAAATAATTATCATTCTTCCCTTTCTTCTGTTGGGTCTTGCTGCTGCGTTCCTCTTTCTTTCTGGGAAAGAGATCATTCAATAGGTTTATTTGGCCACGTCTTCCTGCCGGGTGGAGCAACAAGACGAAAGTGCCACATAGCTCAGCTTTATAGTCAAAACTTTGAATGTACTTTGAGCATACTCTTTCCCCTTCCCCCTCTCTTTTACTTTGTTTCCCATACTTTATCTCTCTTTTTTGCCCAAATCTCTCCTTCTCCTCCTATCTGTGTTTCCTTCTTTCACTTTTCCATTTCTTTCCTCTTTTATCTTCTTCCTTGTCTCCCTCTTTCTAACCACATCTGGATCTCCATTGCAGGACATTTACTCCAAGCGCTTCATCCCGGTGTCCTCCATCACTCGAGTGACCAGCATCGGGGACCAGAAATTCGAGGTCATCACTAATAACCGGACGTTTGCCTTCCGGGCTGAGAGCGATGGTAAGTGGGGGACGTTGACTCCTTTTTCTGTGGAGGAGGGGAGGAGATAAATGGAGATGGGGAGGAGGAAAAGAAACTTCAAATCTCTTATTCTGTCCTCTTCCTCCTTCTTGTCCTTTTCCTTTTGCTATAAACCATTTTGCAATCTTGGCATTTGGTTCATAGGAGTCTCACCTGGAGTTAGGTCATCAAAGAAGGAAGGAAGGAAGGAACGAAAGGAAAGGGAAAGGAAAGGGGGAAGGAATTGAGAAATCAAGGGAAGGGAACAGAAAGAAAAAAGAAAAGGGAGAAGGAAGGAGGGAAGGCAGGAAGGAAAGGAAAAGGGGAAGGATGGAAGTGAAGGAAAGGAAAAGAAGAAGGAGAAAAGAATGAAGGAAAAGAAAATATGGGAGGAAGACGGAATGGAGGAAAACAGAAAGTGAAAGAAGAAGGAGAGAAGGAAGGGAGAAAGGGAGGGAAGGAAGGAAAGTACACGAAAGGACGAAGGAAGGAGAAAAGGGGAAGGAAAAGTGGAAGGAATGGAGAAAGCAAGGGAAGGCAACAGAAAGAAAAATAAGAGGGATAAGGAAGGGAGGGAAGGAAGGAAAGGAAAAGGGGAAAGAAGGAAGTGAAGAAAAGGAAAAGCAGAAGGCAGAGAAGAAGGAAGGGAAAGAAAAGATGGAAGAAGGGAGGGAGGAAAAACGGAAAGTGAAAGAAGAAGGAGGGAAGGAAGGGATAAAGGGAGGGAAGGAAGGAAAGTACATGAAAGGAGGGAGGAAGGAAGGAAGGAAGGAAGGAAGGAAGGAAAACAAAAGGTAGGAGGAAAGAAAGAAAATGTGAAAGGAAGGGATAGACAGAAAGGAAGGGAGAGGAAAGAAGGAAGGAGCAAAAGGAAAGGAAAAGTGGAAGAAATGGAGAAAGCAAGGGAAGGGAACAGAAAGAAAAAATAAGAGGGAGAAGGAAGGGAGGGAAGGCATGAAGGAAAGGAAAATAGGAAGGAAGTGAAGGAAAGGAAAAGCAGAAGGCAGAGAAGAAGGAAAGGAAAGAAAAGATGGAAGAGGGGAGGGAAGAAAAACAGAAAGTGAAAGAAGAAGGAGGGAAAGAAGAAAGGGAGGGAAGGAAGGAAGGAAAGAAGGAAGGTAAACAAAAGGTGGAAGGAAAGAAAGAAAATATGAAAGGAAGGGATGGACAGAAAGGAAAGGTAGAAGGGAGGGAAAGGAAGGAAGGAGCAACGGGAAAGGAAAAGTGGAAGAAATGGAGAAAACAAGGGAAGGGAACAAAGAAAAAAGGGAGAAGGAAGGAAGGAAGGCAGGAAGTAATGGAAAAGGGGAAGGAATTGAAGGAAAGGAAAAGCAGAAGGCAGAGAAGAAGGAGGGGAAAGAAAAGATGGAAGAAGGGAGGGAAGAAAAACAGAAAGTGAAAGAAGAAGGAGGGAAGGAAGGGAGAAAGGGAGGGGAGGAAGGAAAGTACACAAAAGAAGGAAGGAAGGTAAACAAAAGGTGGGAGGAAAGAAAGAAAATGTGAAAGGAAGGGATACACAGAAAGGAAAGAAAGAAGGGAGGGAGAGGAAGGAAGGAAGAAAGGAAAACATCAAAACAAAAACCTAAAAAAACCTAAACAAACTGGAAGACTTGACGTTCTAACCCTTTGCACATTCTTTTACTGCAATACGCACCTTTTGGGGCCAAATGACAAAGAATGCTTTTTTTGCCGCCGCACACGACATTGCTTTTTTGGTTTCATGGTTTTGAGAATTGAGGTGCGCATTAGACTCGCTGGCGCATTAGACTTGAGTCAATATGATATTGTGGGGTTTTTTTTGGAGACTTTTTGGGTTATTATTTTTGGTGTCACACAGAGTGTGTTCTGCCTTTTTCGCCCCACAGCTGATCGCAACGAGTGGATCAGGGCCCTGCAGAAGACAGTGGACGAAAGGAAGGGGCGCTGCTTGGACCGAGGGTCAGTCTTCCATGCGTCCGGCGGCAGCTTCGAGGCGGTGGACAAGTGTGGGCCTTTGGAGCTGCGGGGCTACAAGAGCAAGCTGTACGTGGCCGTGGCTGGGGATAAGGTCTTCCTCTACAAGAACGCAGAGGTGGGTAGGTTTCATAGAGTCCTAGAGGCGGAAGGGGTCCCCAAAGGCTATCCGGTCTGACCCCGTTTTGCCAAACAGAAAGACACAAATCCAGACCTTCCAGAGAAGGAGCATAGTCCACTAGAGGCGGAGGGACTCCCCAAAGGCCATCCTGTCTCATCCTGTTCTGCCAAATAGAAAGGCACTATCCAAGCCCTCCTGACAGATGGCCATCTAGTCTGTGCTTGAAAACCTTCAGAGAAGGAAAGAGACTCCACTGGACTCCAAGGCAGTTTATAGACCACTAGAGTTGGAAGAGATCCCTCCAAGGGCTATCCAGTCTGACCCCCCTTCGGCCAGACAAGGAGACCACCATCCAATCCTTCACAACAGATGGACATCCAGCCTCTGATTAAAGACCTCTTCCACTGGACTCCAAGGTAGTTTAAAGATCTCTAAATTTGAAAAGGGGTACACAAAGATCATCCAGTCCAATCCTTTTTTGCTATTTGGGAAGACATCATCTAAGCCAGTGGTCCTCAACCTGGGGTCCCCAGATGTTGTTGGCCTACAACTCCCAGAAATCCTAGCCAGTTCACCAGCTGTTAGGATTTCTGGGAGTTGAAGGCCAAAAACACCTGGGGACCACTGATAAGCCCACTTGACAGGTGGCCATCTAGCTCTCTGTTTCTTCAAGGAAGGAAAGAGACTCCACTGGATTCCACTGGGAAAAAGTCAGTAGTGTCTTTCTTTACTGCAGAGATACAAGCAATATATCCATTTCAAAGCAAAAACGACTTGTGAGTGGTTATTTAATATTGCTATATAGTTGAAAGGAGTGCTCAGAGATCATCTAGTCCAATGGTTCTAAACCTTCCTAATGCTGAGATCCCTTAATACAGTTCCTCATGTTGTGGTGACCCCCAACCATAACATTATTTTCGTTACTACCTCATAACTGGAATTTTGCTCCTGTTATGAATCATTATGTAAATATCTGATATGTAGAATGTATTTTCATTCACTGGACCAAATTGGGCACAAATACCCAATATGCCCAAATTTGAATACTGGTGGGGTTGAGGGGGATTGACTTTGTCATTTGGGAGTTGTAGTTACTGGGATTTATAGTTCACCTACAATCAAAGAGCATTCTGAACTCCACCAACAATGGAATCGAACCAAACTTGGCACACAGCACTCCCATGATCAAGAGAAAGTACTAGAAGGGTTTGGTGGGCATTGACCTTGAGTTTGGGAGTTGTAGTTCACCTACATTCATAGAGCACTGTGAACTCAAACAATGATGGATCTGGACCAAACTTGGCATGGATACTCAATATGTCCAAATGTGAACACTAGTGGAGTTTGGGGAAAATAGACCTTGACATTTGGGAGATGATGTTGCTCTGAGTCCCCCCCTCCGGGGGTTGAGAAGAGCGGGGTAAAAATGCTGTAAATAAATAAATGTGTTGGGATTTGAAATTCACCTACAATCAAAGAGCATTCTGAATACCACCAATGATAGGATTGGGCCAAACTTCCCATACAGAACCCCCATGACTAACAGAAAATGCTGTGTTTTCTGATTGTCTTTGGCAACTCCTTTGACACCCCCTTGTGACCCCCCCCCAAGGGTCCCGACCCCAGGTTGAGAAACACTGATCTAGTCCAATCCCCATTTGCTATTCAAGCTTGCTAATTGTAAGATTCACACTGTCTTCAACAGATAAGCGTTCTTTTTCCCACCAAGGACACTTCATTTATATATACACTCCACTTGCCTCACTTCCAACAGACCTCTGAAGATGCCATACACAGATGCAGGTGAAATGTCAGGAGAGAATGCTGCTGGAACATGGCCATACAGCCCGAAAAACTCATAACAAGGGTTCTTTCTCCCACCAAGAACACTTCGTTTATATATACACTCCACTTGCCTCACTTCCAACAGACCTCTGAAGATGCCATACACAGATGCAGGTGAAATGTCAGGAGAGAATGCTGCTGTAACATGACCATACAGCCCGAAAAAACTCACAGCAACCCAGTGATTCTGGCCATGAAAGCCTTTGACAGCTGTCAGGAGTCAATTTCTGATGGCATGAAGACATCACAAATTCCCTCCGTGACATCCTGACTGAATCAATTCTCTCTCTGTGACATTTTGAAGCCAGAAGAGGGTGCTGGAAACCTTGTACTGGAACTTTTGAAGCAACAAGCTTTAATAAGGAAACTGAGAAGAGGGGGAAGATGGGCAGGAAAGGTGTATAAAAGGAAGTGGTGGTGGGAAAAAGTCAGTGGTGTCTTCCTTTGCTGCAGAGATATAAGCAATATATCCATTTCAAAGCAAAAACGACTTGTGAGTGGTTATTTAATATTGCTATATCGATCCTACAGTCTTACAACAGCACAAAGTCCTTGTGTTTGCCACCCATCTTCCTGCCCTGTCGTAATCCTTGTGTGTTTTCTGCTTCAGGAGTTTCGCCTGGGCATTGGCATCACCTACATTGAGATGAATGTGGGGAACGTTAAAGATGTGGACCGGAGGGGGTTTGATTTGACGACGCCGTACCGGATCTTCAGGTATAAAGGGCCTTGTATATATATACATATATAGGCACTTTCTGAACTTTTATTTGGGCCAACATTGGGGGAAAACTTCTGGGAATAGGGTTGTTGTTGTTTTTTTGCTCCTTGTGGGTTTGCAAAAGCAGTTGGTTTTGCATGCAAATGGTTTGCTTCAATCAGACCAAGGTTAATTTAAGGAATGTGGATGCATCTACACTGTTAGAATGAATGCAGTTTGCCACCACTTTAACTGCCATACCTCCGTGCTATAGAATCTTGGGAGTTGAAGTTTGAATGCTTTAAACAGAGAAGGCTAAAGGCATTGGGTTGTTGTAGGTTTTTTCGGGCTGTATGGCCATGGTCTAGAGGCATTCTCTCCTGACATTTCGCCTGCATCTATGGCAAGCATCCTCAGAGGTAGTGAGGTGAGGATGCTTGCCATACATGCAGGCGAAACGTCAGGAGAGAATGCCTCTAGACCATGGCCATACAGCCCGAAAAAAACCTACAACAACCCAGTGATTCCGGCCATGAAAGCCTTCGACAATACGCTAAAGGTATTGTCAAACTACAGCTCCCAAGATTCCCTAACATTGAGCCACAGCAGTTCAAGTGGGATCACACTGGGATAATTCTACAGTGTAGATGCACCGCATGATAACTTAAGTTATGCCTCATATTTTGGTTGTCATAAAAGGCCAAAACTGCCAGCAATGCAAGCCTCAAATGTGGTTTGATCAAATGCTCCTCCACCATAAACCCTGCTGGACCGACTATGTTGGCCGAATGCCCGACCACCGTCTCCCAAAGCAGTTGCTCTACTCTGAACTCAAGAATGGAAAACAGAATGTTGGTGGACAGGAAAAGAGATTGAAAGATGGACCCAAAACCAACCTTAAAAGCGTGGCATAGACACTGAGAACTGGGAAGCCCTGGCCCTTGAGCACTCCAGCTGGAGGTTAGCTGTGACCAGCAGTGCTGTAGAATTTGAAGAGACACGAATGGAGGTCAAAAGGGAGAAACATGCCAAGACGAAGGTGCGTCGAGCCAACCTCGAATAGGACCGGCTTCCACCTGGAAACCGATGCCCTCAATGTGGGAGAAGATGCAGGTCAAGAATAGGGCTCCACAGTCACCAACGGTCCCACCGCCAGGACACCAAACTTGGAAGACAATCTTACTCAGACATGAAGGGTCACCTAAGTAAATACACACATATGTCTATTTGAAGGCATGGGCCACTTTGCATAATAATAATAATAATAATAATAATAATAATAATAATAATAATAATATTAATAATAATAAAGTCCCAAACTCCTCTGGGACTTCCAGATTCAGACAGACAGAGTTTTGGAGCACAATAATTCTGACCTCACAAGCATGTTAAAAAAACAAAGTATGGATCGTCGATGTAGCAATCCCAGGTGACAGCAGGATTGAAGAGAAACAACTGGAAAAGCTGACATGATATGAGGATTTAAAGATGGAACTTTGGCACAAGCCAGTAAAGGTGTTCCCAGTGGTGATTGGCACACTGGGTGCAGTTCCTCAAGACCTTGGCCTGCACTTAAACACAATAAGCACTGACAAAATTACCATTAACATGAGGAAGAACTTCCTGACTGTGAGAGCCATTCAGCAGTGGAACTCTCTGCCCCAGAGTGTGGTGGAGGCACCTTCTTTGGAAGCTTTTAAACAGAGGTTGGATGGCCATCTGTCAGGGGTGCTTTGAATGCAATATTCCTGCTTCTTGGCAGAATGGGGTTGGACTGGATGGCCCAGGAGGTCTCTTCCAACTCTTTGAGTCTATGATTCTATCTGCCAGCTGCAAAAGGCCTCCTTACTGGGATCTGCACGCATCATTCGCCTATTCATCACACAGTCCTAGACACTTGGGAAGTGTCCGATATATGATCCAATTCAACAACCAGCAGAGTGACCTTGTTTGCTATGTACTCATCTTGTGATGTTAATAATAATAATAATAATAATAATAATAATAATAATAATAATAATAATAACAATAACAATAACAACAACAACGAACTGCAAAGACTGTGGCACAAGCCAGTCAAGGTGGTCCCAGTGGCGATTGGCACACTGGGTGCAGTGCCTAAAGACTTTGGCCTGCACTTAAACACAATTGGCGCTGACAAAATTATCATCGGCCAGCTGCAGAAGGCCACCTTACTGGGATCTGCACACATTATTCGCCAATACATCACACAGTCCTACATACTTGGGAAGGGTCCAACGTGGGATCCAAAACAACAGCCAGCAGAGTGATCTTGTTTGCTGTGAACTCATCTTGTGATGATGATGATGATGATGATAATAATACACTATATGAGGATTAAATGATTGAACTGCAAAGACTCTGGCACAAGCCAGTCAAGGTGGTCCCAGTGGTGATCAGCACACTGAGAAGTGCCACTGAGAAGTGGGTAAGTGCCTCAAGACCTTGGCCTGCACTTAAACACAATCGACGCTGACAAGATTACCACCTGCCAACTACTGGGATCTGCATGCATCATGCGCTGATACATCACACAGTCCTAGACACTTGGGAAGGGTCCAACGTGGGATCCAAAACAACAGCCAGCAGAGTGTCTGTTGTGGACTCTTCTTGTTGTGTTTCAAATAGTAGTAGTAGTAGTAATAATAATAATAATAATAATAATAATAATAATAATAATAAGTGATTGATGTGAACTTTGCTCGGACTTTTAAATGGAGAATAGTAATAATTATTATTATATAGGAGAAGGGTAACTTCTCTGGTGAGATATAAAAGCTGAAACAGGTCTCCACCAGCATAAAAACTGACATTTTGGATATGCAATTTTTTTAACTCTCCAATTTGTCATTCTCTTTCTCAAGGTAGAATTTGCCCTTCTTCTTAAATGGAAATGATGCAGGACTTCTAATCCAGGTCCACCATAACCCAGCATAACAATGCCTCAGTTTTTTCAGTGTAGCCACCTCTGCTTTCAATCATGGCTCAGAGCTCGCTCCGCCAATGGATTCTGCGTAGCCCATCGCCCCCTGCAGCTGACTCTTCTCTTGCTTTTCCCAGCTTCCTTGCGGACACTGACCAGGAGAAGGAGGACTGGGTGGAAGCCATGCGGCAGTCCATCTCGGAGGCCCTTTCCCACTCCGAAGTGGCCGAGCGCATCTGGAGTGCCGAGGCCAACCGTCTTTGTGCCGACTGTGGGGCCCCCAACCCCGACTGGGGCTCCATCAACCTCTGCGTGGTCATCTGCAAGCGATGTGCAGGTAGGGTCCCTCTGCGGGTGGGGCGACATGACCCAAGCTAGCTTCGAACTCATGACCTCTTGGTCAGTCGTGATTTAATGCAGCTGTCTACTAACTAGCTTTGCCACAGCCCGGTCCATGTTGCCTATGGCGTTGCATAGTCTTATTTATTTATTTATTTATTTATTTATTTGCAGCATTTATTTATTTATTTATTTATTTGCAGGGCGGATTACAGTGTACACATATATAGCAAACATTCAATGCCAATTTTTGACATACAAACATGTACAGACATACACAGAGGCTATTTAGCTTTTTCTGGCCGCCAGGGGAGCTGTCACTTTCATCGTCCATCTGTGACGCTGATGAAGCACTTCCGCATTCCCCGCATGCTTCCCTGCTGGAATGCTTTTGCTGGAGTCTTCTTTATGGCCTCATAAATCAGTTAATTTAGCCTCCCCACACTTTAAGGTGGTACCTAATTTTCCTACTTGGCAGATGGAACTGTCTTTCGGGTTGCAAAGGTCGACAACAGGCTACACACCAATTGGTTGGAAACCCACTCCAACCCGGGCTGGCTTCGAACTCATGACCTTTTGGTCAGAGTGATCTTAATGCAGCTGACACTCAGCCAGCTGCGCCACAATCCTGGTGATGCGCCACAATCTGGGTGTCTTATTGCTTTGTTTTTATTTTTCTGGCTTCCAAATGCAGGGGAGCACCGCGGGCTGGGGCCCAGCATCTCCAAAGTGCGGAGCCTGAAGATGGACAAAAAGGTCTGGACGGAGGAGCTGATTGAGGTAAGACTGGGCACTTAAGGGTCTCCAGAATCCTAGCCCAACTGCTTGGCTCTGAGGCTGAGAGAGTGTGACTCTCCCAAGTTCGCCCAGTGGGCTTTCATGCCTAAGCTGGGATTCGAACCTGTGCCTCCAGAGCCAAAGTCATAGAATCATAGAATCATAGAATCAAAGAGTTGGAAGAGACCTCATGGGCCATCCAGTCCAACCCCATTCTGCCAAGAAGCAGGGATGTTGCATTCAAATCACCCCTGACAGATGGCCATCCAGCCTCTGTTTAAAAGCTTCCAAAGAAGGAGCCTCCACCACACTCCGGGCAGAGAGTTCCACTGCTGAACGGCTCTCACAGTCAGGAAGTTCTTCCTCATGTTCAGATGGAATCTCCTCTCTTGTAGTTTGAAGCCATTGCTCCATTGCGTCCTCGTCTCCAGGGAAGCAGAAAACAAGCTTGCTCCCTCCTCCTCCCTGTGGCTTCCTCTCACATATTTATACATGGCTATCATATCTCCTCTCAGCCTTCTCTTCTTCAGGCTAAACATGCCCAGCTCCTTAAGCCGCTCCTCATAGGGCTTGTTCTCCAGACCATTGATCATTTTAGTCACCCTCCTCTGGACACATTCCAGCTTGTCAATATCTCTCTTGAATTGTGGTGCCCAGAATTGGACACAATATTCCAGGTGTGGTCTAACCAAAGCGGAATAGAGCATGGGGAGCATGACTTCCCTGGACCTAGACACTATGCTCCTATGGATGCAGGCCAAAATCCCATTGGCTTTTTTTGCCGCCACATCACATTGTTGGCTCACGTTGAACTTCCTGTCCACGAGGACTCCAAGATCTTTTTCACACGTACTGCTCTCAAGCCAGGCCTCATCGTGCCCCATTCTGTATCTTTGCATTTCGTTTTTCCTGCCAAAGTGGAGTATCTTGCTCAAATGGAGTATCTTGCTTCAAGTGGAGTATCCTTCTTCAAATGTACTGGAGACTCCTGGGGACCCACTGAATTTCAGGAGTTTTGGAGGGGGAGTGACGCCTCCCAGCACCCACAGGGGGCGCTGTTGCACTGGAAAACTGCGCAATCTAGATTGAAGGCTTTGAGAGAATATTTTGCACAGGAGATTGATGCACAGTATGATGCACAATGAAATATTTTGCATGAGAGATTAGATACTACTGTTTGGAGCAACCTAGAACATTAGTATTATACTTCGTTTTTGTCTTTCTCTTCTTCCTTCTTTTCTTCTTCCTTTGAACTGACATGTACGCAACCTTTTTTATTTATTATGTCAGGAGCAAACCAAACAGTTGTATTGCATTTTTAAACAAACAAAACATAAAGTTTCTAAGCTTGGTGGCTGATTAAATGGGTTGTTGTAGGGTTTTTTGGGCTATATGGCCATGGTCTAGAGGCATTCTCTCCTGACGTTTCGCCTGCATCTATGGCAAGCATCCTCAGAGGTAGTGAGGATACCTCTGAGGATGCTTGCTATAGATGCAGGTGAAACGTCAGGAGAGAATGCCTATAGACATGGCCACATAGCCCGAAAAAATCTACAACAACCCAGTGATTCCAGCCATGAAAGCCTTCGACAATATGGTTGATTAAATGTCCTTTGACCAGTATCTGGCCACTTGGAGTGCCTCTGGTGTTGCTGCAAGAAAGTCCTCCATTGTGCATGTGGCAGGGCTCAGGTTGCATTGCAGCAGGTGGTCAGTGGTTTGCTCTTCTCCACACTCGCATGTCGTGGATTCCACTTTGTGGCCCCATTTCTGAAGGTTGGCTCTGCATCTCGTGGTGCCAGAGCGCAGTCTGTTCAGCGCCTTCCAAGTCGCCCAGTCCTCTGTGTGCCCAGGGGGGAGTCTCTCATTTGGTATCAGCCATTGGTTGAGGTTCTGGGTTTGAGCCTGCCCCTTTTGGACTCTCGCTTGCTGAGGTGTTCCAGCGAGTGTCTCTGTAGATCTTAGAAAACTATTTCTTGATTTAAGTCGTTGACGTGCTGGCTGATACCCAAACAGGGATGAGCTGGAGATGTCTCTGCCTTGGTCCTTTCACTATTGGCTGCCACTTCCCGGTGGATGTCAGGTGGTGCAATACCGGCTAAGCAGTGTAATTTCTCCAGTGGTGTAGGGCGCAGACACCCCGTGATAATGCGGCATGTCTCATTAGGAGCCACATCCACTGTTTTAGTGTGGTGAGATGTGTTCCACACTGGGCATGCGTACTCAGCAGCAGAGTAGCATAGCGCAAGGGCAGATGTCTTCACTGTGTCTGGTTGTGATCCCCAGGTTGTGCCAGTCAGCTTTCGTATGATCTTGTTTCTAGCGCCCACTTTTTGCTTGATATTCAGGCAGTGCTTCTTGTAGGTCAGAGCACGGTCCAGAGTGACTCCCAGGTATTTGGGTGCGCTGCAATGCTCCAGTGGGATTCCTTCTCAGGTAATAATCCTCAGAGCTCGGTTTGCTTGTCTGTACTGAAGGTGAAAGGCACATGCCTGTGTTTTAGATGGATTAGGGATCAACTGGTTTTCCCTGTAATAAGCAGTAAGAGCACCTAGAGCCTCGGAGAGCTTCTCTTCTACCATCTCAATGCATCATTAATGCAAATGATGGCACGATCATTTGCATTAATGTATGCAAATGAGTTACTGCAACTGAACCGTGTTTTGCAGGCCAGAAAGCCTTGTGTTTATATTCTCTTTTTGAGTAGACATATATGCAACCGAGTTACTGCAATTGGACAATGTTTTGCAGGCTAGAAAGCCTTGTGTTTATCTTCTCCTTTGAACTGACATGTATGCAACTGAGTTACTGCAATTGAACTGTGCTTTGCAGGCCAGGAAGCCTTGTGTTTTTTTTACCTTTTGAATAGTGAAGTACACAGTTGAGTTACTACTATTGGACTGTGCTTTGCAATCCGGAAAATGCAACCTTTTTTGGCTTAAACTGGCCCAAAGCATCCCAAACAGGCTGGAAAAGCGATGCAATCCAGTAAAATTAATGCAGTTTTGCACCACTTTAATTGTCGGGTCTCAATGCGATGGTCTCATGGGATTTGCAGTCTGGTGAGGTCCGTCTCTCTTTGGCAAAGTAGGACAAAGACCCTTTGAGACTACAACTCCCATTATACTCGTGGCAGCTGAAGTGGTGTAAAAACTGCAGTAATTCTGTCATATAGACACAGCCCTTGAGTTGTTCTGGTTGAGCGCCCAGATCCATAGAAAGAGGGGGCGATCAATTCCCCCTCCATTGCGGTCAATGCGCTCATTAGTGACCTAGAAAAAAAGTGGAGCGAAGGGAGCTTTTGGTGCCAACGGACCGGAAAGGGAACGACGTGCCACTCTCCTTCTTTTGCTCTCATTTAGGAACCAGTTCATTGGGTCAGGCCACATAACAACAAAAGACAATTTCAACAGAAAGGAGGAGACCATGAAAATGAACTAAATCTGGCTACCAGTATTAAAAAACCTCTAAAATTAAAACAGCAAAACAGCAGAGGGAAAACAATCAGGGACATCTAATCACCTCTCAACAAAAGGTTGCTCCAGGCACTGTCAGGCCATCAAAGGTGGTCAGTTGAAACATTCACACCTAGCTCTAGCAGACAAGAGTCCTTTGCCCCACCCTGGTCCTTCCACAGATATATAAACCCTTTTTCCTAACTCCAACAGACCTCACTACCTCTGAGGATGCTTGCCATAGATGCAGGCGGAACGTCAGGAGAGAATGCCTCTAGAACATGGCCATATATCCCGAAAAAACCTACAACAACCCAGAACTTCTCAATGATATTGAATAGATTTAAAGTGCCAAAATTCTGTATCCATTCGTTCTTTCTGCCTGGCCGCAGGGGGTTGGACTGGATGGCCTTTGGGGTTCCCTTCCCACTCTGCTAGGATTCTGTGTTTCTGGCCCTGGGTCTGTTCTGTCTAATCCAACCTTGCTGAATTCCTGGAATTGGGTGAGGTTTTCTCTTTGGAGGGGAGCTCAGGGAGGGGTTGCCTTTCAAATCCAGACCTGGAGAGAAAATCAGATTGATCAGCCTTGGGAATGTAGCTTTTTTGCTACTAGGACAAACTATGGGATCCATCCTTCCCTTTCCCCCTCTCTCCCTCTCTCCCTCTCTCCTTCCTTCCTTCCTTCCTTCCTTTCCCTCTCCTCCCCTTCCTTCCTAACTTTCCTCCTTCCCCCTCCTTCCCCCTTTCTTTCTTTCTTTCTTTCTTTCTTTCTTTCTTTCTTTCTTTCTTTCTTTCTTTCTTTCTTTCTTTCTTTCTGTTACCTCACCCTCCTTTTCCACCCTTCATTTTTCTTTTTTCTTACTCTCCTATCCTTCCTCCCTTTCCTTTCTCTCTCTCTTACTCTCCCATCTTCTGTCTTTCCTCTGACTCTTTGTTTTCTTTCCCTCCCCACTCTTTCCCACAATTTTTCTTTCTTTCTTGTCCTCCTATCCTCACTCCCTCCCTTTCTCTCTCTCTTCTTCTCCCTCCCTTTCTTCTTTCTTTTCTCTGTCCCTCTTTTTATCTTTCTCTCCCTCTTCCTTCCTTCTTTTCTCCCTCTCCCTCTTTTTCTTCATCTTTCTTAAGTCCTTCCTTCCTGTTTGATTTCTCATTCTCTCCCCTCTTTTTTCTTCGTTTCTCTATCCTTCTCTTTTTCTCTCTATTCCATTCCCTCCCTTACTTCTTTTCTCTCCTTTTTTCCCTCCTCCTTCCTCTCTTCTTTCACTTCTCCCTCACTCTTTTCTTCATCTTTCTTAAGTCCTTCCTTCTTTGTTTTCTCATTCTCTCCCTCTTTTTTCTTTGTTTCTCTATCCTTCTCTCTCTCTCCCTCTCCCATTCCCTCCCTTTCTTCTTTTCTCTCCCTCTTTCCCTCCTCCTTCCTCCCTTCTTTCACTTCTCTCTCAGTCTTTTCTTCAACTTTCTTAAGTCCTTCCTTCCTTTCTTCTTTGTTTTCTCATTCTCTCCCCTCTTTTTTCTTTGTTTCTCTATCCCTCTTTCTCTCTCTCTTCCATTCCCTCCCTTATTTCTTTTCTTTCCTTCTTTCCCTCCTCCTTCCTCTCTTCTTTCACTTCTCTCTCAATCTTTTCTTCATCTTTCTTAATTGCTTCCTTCCTTTCTTCTTTGTTTTCTCATTCTCTCCTCTCTTTTTTCTGTTCCTTTATCCCTCTTTCTCTCTTCAATTCCCTCCCTTTCTTCTTTTCTCTCCCTCTTTCCCACCTTCCTCCCTTCTTTCACTTCTCTCTCAGTCTTTTCTTCATCTTTCTTAATTCCTTCCTTCTTTGTTTTCTCATTCTCTCCCTTCTTTTTTCTTTGTTTCTCTATCCCTCGTTCTCTCCCTCTTCAATTCCCTCCCTTTCTTCTTTTCTCTCTCTTTTCCTCTTTCCTTCCTCCCTTCTTTTACTTCCCTCTCACTCTTTTCTTGATCTTTCTTAAGTCCTTCCTTCCTTCCGTTCTTCGTTTTCTCATTATCTCCCCTCTTTTTTCTTTGTTTTTCTATCCCTCTTTCTCTCTCTCTTCCATTCCCTCCCTTTCTTCTTTGCTCTCCCTCTTTCCCTCCTCCTTCCTCCCTTCTTTTACTTCTCTCTCTCTTTTCTTCATCTTTCTTAATTCCTTCCTTCCTTCCTTTCGTCTTTGTTTTCTCATTCTCTCCCCTCCTCTCTCTTTCTTTCTGTCTATGCCTCTTTCCATCCCTCCCTCTTTCCCTTATCCTATATTCCTCCCAAAAGGGAAATCAAGGAAGTTTGCAAGAAAGTTAACAACTGCGGGTAATTATTCTCACAGGGCTGCAAAAACCCTGCATTTTACAAGGCGGATGCAAAAGTTGCAATACAATTAAATGCACCTGTCATGTGAAAATATCTACAATTTACAGCTGGATGACATTACAAGTGGGCCATTACAAGTGGGCCATAGAGATATTCAATGTGTTGTTGAAGGTGTGTTTCTGTGAGTTTTCCAGGGTCTAGCCATGTTCCAGAAGCATTCTCTCCTGACGTTTCACCCACATCTATTCTCAGAGGTTGTGACGTCTGCTGGAATGATGTCAGGGTGAGAGAAAGAAAGAACTCTTGTCTCTTGGAGGCAAGTGTGAATGCAATTGGTCTCCTTGATTAGCACTGAATGGCCTTGCAGCTTCAAAGCCCAGCTGCTTCCTGTCTGGAGGAATCCTTTGTTGGGAGGTGATTAGCTGGCCCTGATTATTTCTTGTCTGGATTTCCCCCTGCTTTTTGAGTATTGCTCTTTATTTACTGTCCTGATTTTATAGGGCTTTTTAAAAGATACTGCTCACCATACTTTGTTCATTTTCATGGTTCCCTCCCTTCTTTTGAAATTGTCCACATGCTTGCGGATTTTAATGTCTTCTCTGTGTAATCCAGCGTTTCTCAACTTGGGGGTCAGGACCCCTGGGAGGATTGCAGGAGGGTGTCAGAGAGGTTGCCAAAGACAATCAGAAAACACAGGATTTTCTGTTGGTCATGGGGGTTCTGTGGGAAGTTTGGCCCAATTCTATTGTTGGTGAGGTTCAAAATGCTCTTTTAATTGTAGGTGAACTATAAATCCCAACAACTGCAATTCCCAGATGTCGAGCTCTATTTTCCCCAAATTCCACCAGTGTTCACGTTTGGGCATATATGAGTATTCATGCCAAGTTTGGTCCAGATCCATCATTGTTTGAGTCCACAGTGTTCTCTGGATATAGGTGAACTACAAATCTCAAACTCAAGGGCAATGCCCATCACACCCTCCCAGTATTTTCTGTTGATCATGGGAGTTCTGTGTGCCAAATTTTGTTCAATTCCGTCATTGGTGGAGTTCAGAATGTTCTTGGATTGTAGGTAAACTATAAATCCCAGCAACTACAACTCCCAAATGGACTTTAAAGGTTAAAACCAGCACTTTGAATTGTGCCCGGGAGCTCATCGACAGCCAGTGGAGCTGGCGCAACAGAGGAGTGGTACGCTCTCTGTACACAGCTTCGGTTAACAACCTCGCTGCCAACCGCTGGACTAATTGGAGCTTTTGAGAAGTTTTCAAAGGCAGCCCCAAGTAGAGAGCATTGCAGTAGTCTATTCGGGATGTAACCAGAGCATGGACCACTGTGGCCAAGTTATTAATTGAATAAGAATCACCTTTAAAAACAGAATACTGATTTATTGTTTGGCTGGGATTCAGTGCCATTGTGTCACGTAGCGTTATGATTAAGATACGAAGTTAGCCATTGTGTGATGTAGCATTATGATTAAGATAAGAGGTCAGCCATTGTGTGACGTAGCATTATGATTAAGATACGAAGTCAGCCATTGTGTGACGTAGCGTTATGATTAAGATACGAAGTCAGCCATTGTGTGACGTAGCGTTATGATTAAGATACGAAGTCATGCAATAACCTTTCTTTCTTTCTTTCTTTCTTTCTTTCTTTCTTTCTTTCTTTCTTTCTTTCTTTCTTTCTCTTCTCTGGCCTTGGCAGCTCTTCCTCCGGATCGGGAACTTGACGGCCAACCAGTTCTGGGCGGCCAACGTCCCTCCCAGTGAAGCCATCCACCCGCAGAGCGACAGCCAGGAGCGCAGGCACTTCCTCACAGCCAAGTACCGGGAGGGCAAGTACCGCAGGTACCACCCGCTCTTCGGAAACCAGGAGGAGCTCAACAAGGTGGGACGCGTAGCTTCTTCCTCTCCTTTCCTATGCATTTTAATGGTTTTGTGTCCCACTGGGAGTCCAGTGGAGCCTCTTTCCTTCCCTGGAAGATTTTAAACAGAGGCTGGATGGCCATCTGTCGAGAAGGCTTTAACTGTGCCTTCCTAAATAGCCAAAGGGGCTTAGACTGGATGGCCTTTGTGTACCCCTTTCCACACTAGTCATCTATTACCTGCCTTGGGGTCCAATGGAGGAGGTCTTTCATCAGAGGCTGGGTGGCCGTCTGTCGGGAAGGTTTTGATTGTGTCTTTCCCTGTCGGGAAGGTCTTGATTGTGTCTTTCTGAATAGCAAAAGGGGAATTGGACTGGATGACCTTTGTGTACCCCTTTCAACTCTAGTGGTCTATTAACTGCTTTGGAGTCCAATGAAGGAGGAATTTAATAAGAAACCGGATGGCCATCTGTTGGGAAAGCTTTGATTGTGCCTTCCTGAAATACCAAAAGGGGAAAATGGACTTGATGACCTTTGTATTCCCCTTTCAATTCTAGTTGTCTGTTAATTGCCTTGAAGTCCAATGGATGTGGTCTCTAAGCAAAGGCTGGATGGCCATCTGTCGGGAAGGCTTTGGTTGTGTCTTTCTGAATAGCAAAAGGCAAGTTGGTCTGGATGGCCTTTGTGTAACCCTTTCAACTCTAGTGGACTATCCAATGGAGGTGTTTAAGCAGAGGCTGGATGGCCATCTGTCAGGAAGGCTTTGATTGTGTCTTTCTGAATAGCAAAAAAAAGGATTAGACTGGATGGCCTTTGTGTAATCCTTTCAACTTTAGTGGCCTACTACCTGCCTTGGAGTTCAGTGACGGATGTGTTTAAGCAGAGGCTGGATGTCCATCTGTCAGGAAGGCTTTGATTTTGTCTTTCTGAATAGCAAAAGGGGAGTTGGACTGGATGGCCTTTGTGTAAACCTTTCAACTTCAGTGGTCTGTTACCTGCCTTGGAGTCCAGTGGAGGAGGTCTTTAAGCAGAGGTTGGATGGCCATCTGTCAGGAAGGCTTTGATTGTGTCTTTCTCAATAGCAAAAAAAAAAAGGGGGGGGGTTAGACTGGATGGCCTTTGTGTAACCCTTTCAACTCTAGTGGCCTACTACCTGCCTTGGAGTCCAATGACGGAGGTGTTTAAGCAGAGGCCGGATGGCCATCTGTCAGGAAGGCTTTGATTGTGTCTTTCTGAAAAGCAGAAAAGGGTTAGACTGGATGGCCTTTGTGTGACCCTTTCAATTCCAGTGGTCTATTAACTGCGTTAGAATTTGATGGAAGTGGTCTTTAAGCAGAAGCTTGATGGCCATCTGTCGGGAAGGCTTTGATTGTGTCCTCCTGAATAGCAAAAGGGAAATTAGACTGGATGGTCTTTGTGTTCCCCTTTCAACTGTTTTCATCTATTAACTACCTTGGAGTTCAATGAATGAGGTGTTTAAGCAGAGGCTGGATGGCCATCTGTCAGGAAGGTTTTGATTGTTTCCTTCCGAATAGCAAAAGGACTGGATGGTCTTTGTGTACCTCTTTCAACTCTAGTCGTCTATTACCTGCCTTGGAGTCCAATGTAGGATTTGTAGTTGGGTGAGCCCTCAACCCCTTGTGGCAGAGAGAAGACTAAAGACCTTGCAAAACTACAAATCCCATTACTCCCTTGAGGTAAAATGGCATTCATTCATTCTGCAGTGCAAGAAACCTGTTTGCTTCTTTTAAGGAAACGAACGTTTGTTGACCTGGCATTTAAAAGTTTACTTTTAAGAGGAAGTTTTCAAGTTTGCAGCAGAGGTAACGAGGAAGTTTAAGAATAGGAATGTCGGACGGGTCAGTCCTCTTCTTGTTTGGATGGACAAAAGGTTCGGCCAAAAATATGCCTTGTGCCTTGGTTCTGAAGCCTTTAAAAAATTAAATTGTATTTATTTATGAGACTAGCTGTACCCGCCATGCGTTGCTGTGGCCAACCTTCCCTCCCTCTTTCTCTCCTCCTTTCTCTCCTCCTTTCTCTCCTTCTCTCCTCCTTTCTCTCCTTCTCTCCTCCTTTCTCTCCTCCTTTCTCTCCTTCTCTCCTCCTTTCTGTCCTCCTTTCTTTCTCTCCTCCTTTCTTTCTCTCCTTTCTTTTTCTCCTCCTTTCTCTCCTCCTTTCTTTTTCTCCTCCTTTCTTTTTCTCCTCCTTTCTCAACTCCTTTCTTTCTCTCCTCCTTTCTTTCTCTCCTCCTTTCTTTCTCTGCTCCTTTCTTTCTCTCCTCCTTTCTTTTTCTCCTCCTTTCTCTCCTCCTTTCTTTCTCTCCTCCTTTCTTTCTCTCCTCCTTTCTCTCCTCCTTTCTTTCTCTCCTCCTTTCTTTCTCTCCTCCTTTCTTTTTCTCCTCCTTTCTCTCCTCCTTTCTTTCTCTCCTCCTTTCTTTTTCTCCTCCTTTCTCTCCTCCTTTCTTTTTCTCCTCCTTTCCCTCCTCCTTTCTTTCTCTCCTTTCTTTCTCTCCTCCTTTCTTTCTCTCCTCCTTTCTTTCTCTCCTCCTTTCTTTCTCTCCTCCTTTCTTTCTCTCCTTTCTTTTTCTCCTCCTTTCTCTCCTCCTTTCTTTCTCTCCTCCTTTCTTTTTCTCCTCCTTTGTCAACTCCTTTCTTTCTCTCCTCCTTTCTCTCTTTCTTCCTTTCTTTCTCTCCTTTCTTTTTCTCCTCCTTTCCCTTTCTTTCTTTCTTTCTTTCTTTCTTTCTTTCTTTCTTTCTTTTTCTCTCTCCTCCTTTCTCTCTCTTTCTTTCTTTCTTTCTTTCTTTCTTTCTTTCTCTCCTCCTTCCTTCCTTCCTTCTCTTCCTCTTCCCTTCCTTCCCCTCTTTTTCTTTCCCTTCCCCTTTCTCCCCTTTCTTCCTTCTCTACCTATTCTTGGACTGCAACTCCCATCAGTCCTCCTGATCAATCTATCTATCTACCTATCTCTCTTACTTACTTACTCAGGCAATCCCTTGTTGTCCGCATAGGATAGTCTTCTAAGATCAGTGTTCTGGCAGTGCGTCCATAGGTGGCTGTGGAGACCTATTCTTGACCGGCATCCTCTCCCACAGTGAGGGCATCGGCTTTCAGGTGGACGGCGGTCTCGGTCGGGGTTGGCTTGACACGCCTTCCTCTTGGCACATTTCTCTCTTTCACCCTCCATTCGTGCCTCTTCACATTCTGCAGCACTGCTGGTCACAGCTGACCTCCAGCTGGAGCGCTCAAGGGCCAGGGCTTCCCGGTTCTCAGTGTCTATGCCAGAGTTATTGAGGTTGGACATTGGGTTCCAGGTGGAAGATGGTCCCGGTCAGGGTTGGCTTGACGCGCCTTCCTCTTGGCACGTTTTTAGCTTTCACCCTCTATTCGTGCCTCTTCAAATTCTGCAGCACTGCTGGTCACAGCTGACCTCCAACTGGTGTGCTCAAGGGCCAGTCTGCCCAGTTCTCAGTGTCTACGCCAGAGTTTTTAAGGTTGGCTTTGAGCCCATCTTTCAATCTCTCTTCCTGCCCACCAACAATCCGTTTTCCATTCTTGAGTTCGGAGTAGAGCAACTGCTTTGGGAGACGGTGGTCAGGCATCCAGACAACGTGGCTGGTCCAGCGGAGTTGATGGCGGAGGACCATCGCTTCAATGCTGGTGGTCTTTGCTTCTTCTTCCAGCACGCTGACATTTCCCCACCTGTCTTCCCAAGAGATTTGCAGGATTTTTCGGCGGCAACGCTGATGGAATCGTTCCAAGAGTTGTGTGTGACATCTGTAGACAGATCCAAGTGGAATCTCCTTTCCTGCCATTTGAATCCATGGCTCCATTGAACGGAAAACGGAATGTTGGTGGATAGGAAAAGAGATTTCAAGATGGGCTCAAAGCCAACCTTAAAAACTCTGGCATAGACACTGAGAACTGGGAAGCCCTGGCCCTTGAGCACTGCAGCTGGAGGTCAGCTGTGACCAGCAGTGCTGTAGAATTTGAAGAGGCACGCATGGAGGGCGAAAGAGAGAAATGTGCCAGGAGGAAGGATGCCCTCACTGCGAGAGAAGATGCAGATCAGGAATAGGGCTCCACAGTCACCCATGGACCCACCCCCAGGATACTACAGTTGGAGGACCATCATCCTCGGACTACGAGGGATCGCATTGGGCCATGGCAGTTAAAGTGGGGCCAAACTGCATTAATTCTTCAGTGTGAATGCACTTTCAGTCTTTCTCCTGATTTCAACCCTGAAAAACTGAGCTTCCCGGCCCGTTTTCATGCTCCAAACCAGTTGAACAGGAATGCAAGACCTATTTGCACCCAGGGCAAAAGAGATTGCCATTGAATAAACATTGACCCCTTGCAACTCTTCATACATAACATACAGCACAGTCTACAGGGTACTCTAATGATTTATATAGAATCACAGAGTGGGAAGAGATCCCAAAGGCTATCCAACCCAACCCTGTTCTGCCAGGAAGGAAGACACAATCTGATCCCTCCTGACAGATGGCCATCCAGTCTCTGTGTAAAGGCTTTGATTGTACCTTTCTTCCTAACAGATTAAGGTTGGACTGGATGATCTTTAGAAATCTCTTCCAACTCTTGCATTCTCTGGTTCTAGAGCCCTATTTTTCCATAAACAGTCTATATCTATGAGGCTATATGGCCATCTGTTGGGAGGGCTTCGAATGTGCCTCCCTAGCCGAATAGGATTGGAGTGGATGACCTTTAGAGGACCCTTCCAACTCTAGCATTCTATGGTTCTATAGCCCTATTTCTCCAAAGTCTGCGAGGCTATGTGGCCATCTGTCAGGAGGGCTTTGATTGTGCCTTCCTGCCTTTCCAAATAGGGTTGGACTGGATGACCTTTAGAGGTCCCTTCCAACTTTAGCATTCTATGGTTCTATAGTCCCATATCTCCAATGTCTATGAGGCTGTGTGGCCATCTGTCGGGAGGGCTTTGATTGGTGTTGGACTGGATGATCTTTAGAGGTCCCTTCCAACTCAATGATGGTATGGTTCTGTAACCCTG